CACAGTGAAATCTCATAATTCACACTTTACCATGACCCCTGTGATTTTTCATCATTTGAATATATTTCCCTTCATTCTTTTGTCTGACATGAAGTGATGATGTTTAACGCCCCCTTCAACCTCTGTAGTCCCACTTAGCCACTTGTTAGCAACCTGCCTTTTTAAAGAGATCATGACTGAGGTATTTACTGATGGATTTTATGTCGTAGAGTAAAACATAAAAATGTCTCATCCACATCCTCCCCACCTGAACAACAGCCCCACCACCCACTCCCTCCAGCCGTTGCCCCTCACAGGGTCCCACCTCCGAGCAGCCACCGAAACAAAAGCAGCTTTCAGACACAATTTTCTCTGCAGCGACAAAAGAGGAAACTCGACACACGGCCGGTTGCTCCGTCCTTACGTTTCCTCCGCACAATAAAAACAGACACGGCCGTTTGAAAGACGCCCTCCTCTGCAGAGACACCCGACCCCACCCGACCCCACCCGCCTTTCAGCTGCACTTCAGACGACGTGAAGCGACCCTCGGCTTCAGGGGTAACTCAAGCTGACAGCAAGTGTGTGAACACAAAAATACCCCCTACATGGACACAGTGTGAACCGATCAGCACGTAATAACCTCAAACACACAAAGGATCTCCTTAATTAACAAATTAAACCCTTAATCTGCCTCATATTTGGCTTGAATTAGACAACAGATATAAACAGAGATCAGGGGTGCAACTATTGATCATTTCATCATCTGTTAACCAAACGTCTTGATCAACCAATTAATCGTTGGCTCTAAAAAAGATAAAAAAAAGCCAGAAAACAATAGAAAAATGCTTTTTTTCTGACAAACCCCTGAAGAGTTAAGTTAGATACTCGTTAATTCTAGATGTTGTATGTCAGAGTCGACATGAAATCACCCTGAACCCTGTGAGGTGGAAACAAAGTCGGCTATAAGATGAACTTTTGTGGATCGCTGTGAATTACTTCAATAATTACTCAGCAGCAAGAGTCACGTGTTCCTCAGTCCAGCTCCACCAAAGGCACCTTTAAATGAATTCACACCCTCCACACTCACACGTCTCATCTCTTCTATCTAACACATGCAGAAACAGGAACAAGACGTTGTGGTTATGATGCAGGCGGCCGACAGTTCAGAGGATTTGCTGACCATCAAGCCGCAAGCTCGTCCTCGGTGACAGCACACAGCTCTGCACAAGTCCCGACCTCAGCGGCAGGTTCACAGACTCAAGACACAGTACAGCTAAAGTGTTACTGACCAACATGAGTCAAGTTTCCGTCCAAATTTAAACTGAACTTCCAGAAGTTTTGCAAAAGAAAATGCAAGTTATTGCTCGTATCCATCCACCACCGTTATGCTTTCTCCAACAGGTGCCAGTAAACCACTGCAGGAGGATGATGGTGAATAAAAAAAAAAAAAAAAAAAAAAAAAAAAGAAAGAATGAAAACATGATGGAAATCTGACACAGGTTCCAGCCTCCTCCTCATCGCTCCACACAGATCTGAAGTTTTCATCTCTCCACTGGAACCTCGAGTGACGTTCAAGTCATACGCTTCGTGTACGTCAATTTTATTCATCACGTCTGTTTCTATTTCTGTCATCTCACACACCAACATCTCCCACCTAAAATCTGAGGTATTCCAACTTTCTTTCAAATGTCTGGCGATTCCACTCGGGGTTTTATGCGCAAATTAAAAACATGCAAGAAAACAGCTTAATAGAAATATGACAATTTATATAAACAACTCACTGTTTATGAAATTGAATGGTTGCTTCTCACTCACTTAATCTTACAGAGACAGAACTGAAAGTGTGAACCCTGCAGTGTTCACACTGGGAGGGGGTGTCACCAAAACAAAGAGAGGTTCTGCCTGAGCTTGTCAGTAAGTGAACCCCGCCCACCATAATTAATTCAATGTTCGACCACTCAGTGGCAAAACCAGTTTGTGGCCAGCTCCATTCCCACTCCGCTGAAAGAGCAAGCGGTGCACGTTTCCATGACGACGCTGCAGAGAGCGAGGGAGTGGGAAAAAGAAGTCGCTCAAGTCTCCTGCTTGTTCAGCCTCAAACTCGGGCGCTCGCTCCCACAACAGGAAGCGTAAACAGAAGACACAAACCTCAACAGGAACAATTCTCCTTTTTCCTCCTACACTCAAACACATCACTGCCAGCGCTCCAACAACTCACAGCGCTGCACCCCACCAGCTGAAGAATGTGTCTGGGTTTTATTAATCCTGCAGCTATTCATTATTTTCAATGTTGACAATTCTTTCATGAATTAACCGTTTTTAGAGATGCAACAATTTAATGATTAATTGATTGATTAATTATAACATCTTGTTTTGTCCAAAACCCAAAGGATCTTCTGTTCACCATCATGTCTCACGAAGCAAAGCAGCAAATCTTCACATCTGGGAAACTGGAACCAGCAAAGATTAAACATTATTGCTTAAAAACTAGAATGATCAAAACAGTGCTGGCTATTGATTGATTAGTTTTGTCTTAGTTCATGAAAGGTTTGCATTATGAAGAAAAGTGGTTGTGATCTGACAGCAACAACCCTCGGTTTGGAAACCCTCTACTTGTTTGTTGTGGAGGAGAAATGTGAGCTGCTCAAACCTTATTAAACCTATAATCACCTTCAGGGCAATTCCACCGAACAGGGCAAACAGGTTATGTACTGATGCATCATCTCAGTGGGCTGAGTCTCATTCACATGCAGCTTTCATTTCTGTCAAACATCCTCTCTCCGTGAACACACAGTGGTGGCGTCAGGGTGAACTCATGTTAAAGACCTCCTGACAGCGAAGACGACCAGAATGCAGCCAAACTGGTCCGGAGCTCATGGAGGTGCCTCCCAAAACATTCTCGTTCCTCGTATTGACAACCGTCCAAAAAACCTTCGCCGCCGACACCCGCTAACTGCAGCACAGCATAACCCATTCAACAAGACATGGTTTTCTGTTCCCAGAGTATGGAAAGGTAATTAAGGTCATTGCTGGAGTGAAGCGGCCCTGCAGCTGAACTGATTTACTGCCTCACATGTTGAGGAAACGATGGAAGAGCTCTGAGGGGGGAGAGAGCTGAAATATTGACTGGGCGTTGATGTGCCACCATGCACAAAAAAACACTGACCCACATTTCCATCTGTAACACAGACCAGTCCTCCCAAACACACAACAGTCCCAGTCCGCTTTAAAAAGGGGGGGCACAGCCCAGTCGATTGTCCTGCAGAAGAAGAGCTGGATGTTGAAGTTTGAAATTTCAGACCTGGGTCAGTGAGTGAGGGAGGTTCCTCTCTGCCTCTAGAGCTGAAATGATTAGCTGATTAACTGAGTGAAAGAACACTAATTAGCTGCTACTTTCATAATAGATTAATTGTTAAAGCACGGTGGCCCAGAGAGCAGGTTAAAACGACACATGCAGATAGAAATTCTTCGCATAGAACACAACTAGAGCTGCAACGATTAGTCGATTAGTCATGACAGAAAATTAAACTGGCTGTGTCTTCTTCATTGATTATTTGTTTTGTTTTGAATTTACAAAAATTTCCTGGTTCCAGCTCCTCACATTTATTTTGTGTTTGATGGACAAAACAAGACAGATGAAGACGTCACACTGGGCCCTGGGAAACTGTGATTGGCATTTTTCATTATTTTCTGACATATTATAGAGCGAAAGATAACAGAAAATAAGGCCGTCACTTTTTCAAAAGGTCACATTTGAACAAATTCAAACTAACACGTAAAACTTCCCCGTTAGCATAATGCCATCGACAGTGAAGAAGCCAAAATACTTCTGAGACACGTCGGTGTTGTGATTGTCTGATTACAGCGGTTCTGTTCTCGAGTCGATCGTCCTCCATTTTTCCATCAGTGAGCTGAGTTACCTGAGAGGTCAACAGGTCAAACGGACCTTTGAGAGCGCCCTCTGCTGGACCACAAAGGAAACTACTTCAAACAGTCTGTTCAGTGGTAAATTTTTTAGTCAAACAGGTCCAGTTTGTCTGTTTAATAAAAAAAAAAGTGACAGCCCTAATAGATATTAAAAATATTTATTACATTCAGACTTTTCTTTAATCGCTGCTTTTTTACTAGTGAAATGTGGGATAGTTTCACGTCTTCAGAGCTCAAAAAGAAAGAAAGAAAAATATGACACTCTGGTTGAACAGTGCACAACCAACAGACACATGAAACTAGACACTGCTTTGTTTAACAAGCAAAAAAAAAGTTGGAATACCGCTCCAGAAGCATTTGCAACCTCATGACTGTAAAATCCTTCAATCTTTCAGGCATGAAAATGGTCAAATACCGTCTTAAAATGTTGGATATCGACTGAATCAGGCTGCAAGAACTCATATCCATCTTAAAATAAGACTAGTGTGTCTATAGAATCCAGTTTAGTACAAAGTCCACTCCTCTGCTTCAAAGTGACAGCTCATTAACTTTGCCTTCAGTTTCTGTTTACATGTAGAAAAACCACCTAATTTAACCAGAGCAGAACAGGAGGGTTAGTGTTACAACGCTTTAAATAACTTGTGAGTTTGCGGCAAATAAAGTTATGACAAACTTTGAGTTGTGCACATTTTCTATTATATTTTAATCCATTTTAAGAAAAGAGCCTCTAAAGCATAAAAAGTACATTTCATCTAATTGTCACATGGGATTATTTCAGTCCAAATTAAACAGGGAACTTGAATCCCAGTGGCTCACACAGTAATAAGTGTGATAGTGAAGTTACTGTGTCAGATACATAAATCATCCACACAGGCGCCACATCATCATCATCCTCACCATCCTCACTTCATTAAAATCATGAAACAGCTTCGACATGTGGCCGTTTTCACAAACTACCAATCATTCAACCATCTGATGATCAATCTGAACCCAATCACCCGAGCAGCCACACACACCTCGTGTTCAAAAACACCACGAAGCAGTTTCCGTCACACAGGACAGTTAAAGCAGAATCAAAGTTGCTGGTTACTTACGTGTTTTTGTCTGCGCTAACCTGCGGAGAAACGTGGTGCGGGTGTGTTGTGGGCAGCTGTGCGGGGCCTGTGTGCGCTCTGAGCGGACTCCTGCTCGGACTGAGTGACCTCCTGCTCGACGGGGACAACAAAGCAGCAGCAACAACAGCAGCAGCAGCAGCAGCAGCAGCGGAGTGTGCAGACTGGAGCACGGACAGGAGCAGCAGCGGGGGAATCTTCTCCGGTCCCCACCATGTGGCAGATATGGGAATTAACGAGTCAAATGCCCTTTTTAACCCCTAAACCCCTGCAACGCCCGCGCCTACACAACAGAGGATTAAGGCTGCTGAATATAAAAAAAAATAAAAAAAACTATAAAACAAAAACTAAATATTACAATCACGTACAGTTATTATCAACGGAAGAGGAAGACATTTATTTTTTAGAATTCTGACTTTTATCACTAAATTCTGATTTTGTTTTCAGAATTCTCAGATTAAAGAATTCTGACTTTAAAATCAGAATTCTAAAAAAATATCATAATTATTGTAACAAAGGATTTTATTGGCTGAACTTCAGTTTTTTTAATCTAATTCATTAATGAAATAATATCTAATTAACTATCTTTTTTGTTGAGCTTTTTCCATCATGTTTATTTATTCACAACACATGACACAAATCTCAGCATTCAACATGGAAACCGCCGTAAACAAAAACGATCTAACGCAAAAATACTCAACCAAAAGCACATTTACAAAAATAAATAAGAAAAAATAAGATGTTCTCATTGATCCCACTCTAATGTCTGTGCTCAGAGTGGGAGACCATTAGCTTACCTTAGCATAAAGACTGAAAACAGGGGGAAACGGTTAGCATGGCCCTGTGCAGTTAAAAAAAAAACCCAGTTGAACAGCAACCCTAAAGTTGACCATTAAGCCCTTATGTCTCATTTCTTTTAATCCGAACACAAACAGTTAAATAAATATGACGTTATGACTTTACAGGAGGTTACTGTATATAAATACTATTTATTGGCCGGGTGTAGTGAGGCAGCGACCACTTGGAGTGCTGTACTTTGTGTTTACTGCTAATTAGCAAATGTTAGCATGCTAACGTGCTAAATTAAGATGTTGTACAATGTAAACAGACATATGTATGTATATACAGTATATACACGTGTATCTCTGTGAATGTAGATATGTTAAATCAACATGTTAGCATACAATCAAGCAAACCTTTATTTGTATAGCACCATTTGTCAAGGTCAATGTGATTCTGTGTTTATCACAAGTCTGATATGGTGATAATGGAACAATTCAAACATAAATAGTAAATAAATTTGACACTACTGCAGACAAATACAAATGGTGAAAAGATGAAAAAAAAGCCTTAAAAGCATTTTCATTGTGTGGCTGACATTAGCATTTAGCTCACTGCACTGCTGTCCCATAAGTGTAGCCACACAGTTGTTTACGTGGCTGTAAAAAATGAATTGTTTTTAAAATAATTTTTAAATTTATTAGTTTGACTGCTAAACTAAATTGGCTGTAAATTTAATTTCCAAACCACCTCCAAACTGCCAAGAATAAAATAAAGGTGGATAAAAATAATTAAAACTATTTATAAGCCTAAAAGTAGTGTAAATTAAATGAGTCTACACTGGAAATCAGCTTATCAAATAACAAACCTCTTTTTGACTGTATAATGTGAACAGGTTGTTCATATATATAAAAAAAAAAACAAACAGCACTGGGAGGCCTGTGTGGGAGGTTTTAGATAACAGTGATAATATTTCTAGTGTGAAGCAGACACCATTCAGTCCTAACTGACCTGTCTGGATGGAGGAGGAGTGTGGTGGTGGTGAGATCAGGGTCAGTCTAAAGAGTACAATGCTCCTCCACACACAGCACATACAGTCAGTCAGTGCAGCATGAGGGAACATGCGCTGTGTTAAATGAGGTTATTCTACAGCCTCGAACGTCATGAACACGGACACACTGTCCCTACAGAGCTAAATGTCTGATTGTCTTAACGTAATGATGCAAAGTTCAGGCGTCAAACCAAGCGAGGGGCTGAAGACACGGTTTCTCGAATGGTTTTATAACATGAGTGATGCTAAGGATTAATGACACTATGCGAGCTGCTGACCTCACAGCCAGGATTTCTTTTCTCACTGGGTTTACATCGTACCACAGTGGCCTGATCTGTTCTACAAACGGCAACATCAGATGTCACAACCAAGTACATTTAGTCCGTTTTTAAAGACAGTACTTTAGAGTATTTACATTTTAACCTACTTTCTACTCCAGTACATTTCAAAAAGGGAAATGTAGTTTTTACTTCATTTATTTGCTAAAAGATCTGAGTAGTTGTTAACAGTAAATCTTGAAATATGAAAAACACATTGTTAAAGAAGTAGTTTTTGACTCTCTCCCTCTTAACTCAGACTGTTTCATTTAAATAAACATGACAAAGATTTGTTTTTAAGAGCAGGAGTCCAAGAGTCTATAAATCCAGATTTGGCAGAAAAAATGTCAACTATGGGGGGGAGGGGGGACCCCCAACCCTGTTCAGAAAGTTCTCCATCTAGCAAGACAACTGAGAATGAGAGATTTTTGGCAAAAGTGACTGATAAAAATCAAAACTATGGATTTAACAGCCAAAATTCTGAACAAACCATGATGCTTGGCTTAAAAATCATAAAAACATTTTATTAAACTAAAAAAGTTTCTCCACAGGTTGTGAACAATCTAAAATAAAGTGCAAGTGAAATGTCCACTGATGAAACAGCAAAGTTCGCCTCAAGGGTTGTTGAGCAGAGGAGACGCCATCTTCTTGACGAGCGCCGACTTCAGCTGAGGGATGAGGCTGATGTTCATCAGCTTGCTGCCTGAATACTTGTTCTTGACAGCCTGCAGAGAAACACATTGTTTAACCGTTTCATCTCTTTACACAAAACCATAAACTCTTTGACAGCAAACTTACCAGGAACTTTGTTTTCCCTTCAGTCACATTCACAACGTTTTTGGCGATGTGCTGCATGATGGGCTTGAGGTGGGCCTCGTCATAAGTAGAGTAGTGCTGCTGTGTAGGAGACTGACAAGTGCAGAACAAGTCAACAGTTTGGTTACAGCAGCAGAGACAAATTATAATTATAAAACCAGTCACTTGAATTCAAACTCACCCAGGGCAGCCCTTCAAGCAGCAGCTGAGAGAGACACAGTGAGGCAGCTGCAATCTCAGAGGGCCGGTAGTGCACCATGTCGTAGTCGAGGAGGGTCAGCTCCATCAGGTACTTGGCCAGTGTGTGTCTCTCTACATCAGACTGAGACAGAAACATCCACAACCCTGAGCACTCGGACAATTTCATAAACAATTTGTTAAACACTTAAAATACTTCTGTGCCCTTTATTCCACACTCAGTTAAAGTCCAGGGTATTTTCCATAGTTGGCTCTAAACTAATGATCACATCATCCCCCTCCAACGATACCTTTAAAACCCAACATGTCTCTTTAGCCTCGAGTGAAGCAATCATGAAGTCTTGAATGGTCTTGGTTGTTGTGCACATTACAAAAATTATTCTATGCTTTTATTTATTAACTTGTACCTTCATAATTATGTGCATTTTCATTTGATTGTAATTCTCATCTCTGAAGCGCTTTAGCTGACGTTAATGTGTAAACTTAAGACAATTTATTTATAATAGCAGGAATGCAATGTTAAAGCAGTTTACCTCATTTGACCATGATAATTCATGCAAAAACTCACATTTGCCACTTTTGAAGCCCGCCTGAGGAAGTGCAGTGGAAGAGGACGTCCCAGCTGAAACTTGAGTGTCTCCAGAACCAGCTGCTCCATTTGCAGAATCTGAGACTTTGTAAACGCGTTGTCTGTGATGTAGGCAAAGTCTCCGACCTCTGGAGCGTACATCTCCTCATATTTACAAGCCACCAGCATGGCGGTCACACCAACAAGCTGCAGCTTTCGGCGAGAGACTGGCTGAACCTAAGGACAGCAGGAATGGATTGTCTTTATTTACATAGCTCCAAAAGAGGAAGCCTCATTTAAAAACTTCTCACATTCTTGTCCTAAAGTTTTCACCCCCTGAGGCTTGTGTCCAAGTTGAAGTCACTGAATGATGATACCACCTGTTCATTAGGAGTGCAATCACCACCTCCAAGATTGAACAGAGGTCTGATTATGCGTTTATTTTGTTCGTAACCAAGAGAACAGTCCAAGTACAAGAAAATACACCACAAATTCTCTTAAACCACTCGTTCACTGGACTTCAGAATGAATCTGTTGATATGACTAGTTCCTGATTGAGGCCAAATGAGACAACTGAGACAGCCCTCACCTGCAGAAAACGATCCAGGATGGCAACTGTGAGGTACAGAGTCTCCTGCAACAGCTGGAACCTTGAGTGAACCTGGACCAGCCAGTCGATCAGAAGAGCTCGCATGCGGTCAGTGATTTCATAACCCTGCATGTAGTTGGCTCGTACAGATTGCTGCACCTGTGGAGACACAAACTTTTAAAAACAAAATACAAAACAAAGATGAGCGCAGCGAGTTTGGCTGAGGGGAGAATAAATCACCTCGAGGACGTGCAGATATTTATAGATCTCCTTGACGTATTCTGAGCAGAGCTGTGGCAGGTCCGCGTCCTGCTCATCCACGTCGTGCACAGTGAGCAGCGCCTCAGAGAAAGCCTGGCACAGTTCATTCTCCTTCATGGACACGTCAGTGGACTCCTCTGAAACTGGTGGGACAGGATCTGCAGGTGCTTGGACCTTGACCACGACCGCTGAAGGCACCACCAAAGTGGGTTTGGGTTTTTGGGCACAAGATGGTTTGGCTGGTCCCCTCCTCTGAGGAAACAAGTCAGATTCAGTTTTTTTTTTTCCCCCCAGAAAAAGTTTTGGTCTGTAAGTCTTGTTAAAAAAAACAAAAAAACAAAACAAAACAAAACAAACCCTTTCACAATTTCCCCAAAGCCCAAGATAACATGCAAATGTCTTGTCCAACTCAAATAGTTAAATATTCACAACTGAGAAGCTAAAGCCAATGTACATTCTGCTTTTAAAAAATGACAAACAATTTCAATAGTTGACCAGTTAAGATTTGTTTAACAAGTGATCGAATAGTCAACAAACAGTGCCAGCTCTGCATCAGTGAGCTTTGACCTCTGTTGCTGGATAAGGGTTCAGGTTGGGGCTTTTCCATAAACACCTACACCTAAGTGGGGAAAAAGGTTTCTTCATGCAGCTTGGGCACAGGGGCAGTGTCATGTTTGAAACGGGACACATTAGATAAAACATCACTGCCTGCTGCAGCAATAAGATTTCCCTTCACTGAGGCTCCAGTGGCCTTGACCTGAGAGGTGTCCACATACTTTTGGACAAACGGTGCAGCTTGTGTTCCCGTTTGTCTTGGGGTTATCGTGAGACTCACAGCACACAACCCAGAGTAAAGCTAAGAGGAGCTCCAAACAGCAGCTAGAACAGCTAGTGAAGCAGACTGTTGTTCCGCCATGTTGTTACCTTCGTGTTGACCGCTGCTCCGGGAAAGTTGGTCATCTCTCCGAGAACAGCTCTCCTCTGACCCGCTGCTGGGGCTTTACCCCTCTTCATTGGGTTCACTGCGGCTGGCCGCTGCTACAAGATGAGGAAATAAAATCGTAAAATTATTACGAACCTAACAAACACAGCTAACCTGTCTCTTACGGTTATAAAAGCAGTGACAAACGAGGCGATGCGGGGAGCAGGCGGTGAACAGAGGAACAGCCTCACTATCAACTAAACAGTAAAAACAACGACATAAACTCAGTTTACTCACCACAGGACGGACTTCCACAGACGACATGTTGAACTGCGGCAGCAGAGACGCCAAACTGTGACTGAGAGAAACGATTCAGTGATTTAGTTCAAGCAACAACCGACACAGTTACCGACGAGATCCGTGAACACCGAGGTATGCAGGTAATCGACGGAGACACGAGCAGCTTTCAAATAGCGCTCCGTCGAATCTGATTGGATACAGCTTTGGTAGGACGCTCCTGATTGGCTGACAGCCTCAGGTCAAAGCTACCGTATTAGGGATATTTAAAATTGGAAAAAATACATATTATTCGATTTAACTATTATTAGTTACTATGACAATATCAACAACAAATGTATAGAATGTGTTGTTAATTGTCTTATTTTATTGGAAAATTTGCTTTGTTTTTTCCTTTTTTCTCAATTAATTCTGTATCTTACAAACAGTTTAAGATTTAAGTTCAAGTTTAAGGTTCTTAATCAGTTATAATAATCATTAATAAAAAAAAATTTAAAAAAGAATGCATGGCAAAAATAATTATCAAGCAGTTGCTTATTCCTTTATCCAGTAGACACAATAATATTATATTTTCATCCATTTCGAATCATGTTTGTGTCCACCTCATGAATGCAAGACCCATATTCAGTTTTTTTAGTTGAGGTTTGTGAAATATATCCATCTACTTAGCTGCTAAATCTGCAGTGGGTTTATCACTGTTTTAGTTCAAAACAGCTGCTGGAAACAACAGTTATGAGAGTGAAGAGAGTGAATCAAAACAGTGAACTGAGTAGTAAAACCGAAACAATGATGATGAAGTCTTTTAACAGTTCTCTGCTTTCTTTTTCCTGACAGTCAGAATTTCAGTGATTCAGCCTGTGATTTTCTGTATTTTTCTTATTTTCAACTCAAGAAAAGACCAAAACCACTAATGATCTTATTCCTCTGAGCCATGGAGCTCCATTGTTGTTCAAAAACTATTAAAAACACATCAGTGAGTCACACTGTTGCACTGGGTGACATTTTCCTTCGTTACCATTAACACACACTGTGGTTTATTTTGACTCAATTACACACACACACACACACACACACACACACACACACACACACACACACACACACACACAAACCATCCTGCTGTCTGAAATACTCGCTGTGACATGTTTTTAAAGCTTTATGTTTTCAGTAGGAACCAATATGCTCAGAGCTGCAAGCTACAGACAGGGTAGGGACGTTGGTTTTGGTCTTTTCATTGGATTTGTGAATAATATAGAATATAACTTAGCCCTACTGGTAAGATACAACCACTTCAGTACAGTGCTGCCACTGAAACTGTTTACACTGTGATTTAGATAGACAGTTCTGCCATGTCCAAACCTGTGACTACACACTAATTCTAAGCAGGAAAAGTGACAAAATTAAGTATACTTAAATTGGGCATTACATATACTATAAATACAGTCGGCTTGTTGAGTGCCATTGCAATGTAAAAAGGAAACGAAGGGGGACAAATATAATAAATTGTAGATGGGGGTGAGAAAGCCCCAGGAAGATCGAGAGCAAAAAATAATTTTTTGTATACAGTAACGGTATGATAATATAGATTTGGGATACAGCTCTGGTTTTCATCATAAAAACCACACTTTCTCATCAAGACCCAGCAAGTCTCAGAACAGGCTCAGGAAACAAGAGTCACAAAGAAACTTTATATAGTTTTCAAGTATTCAAAACTGTTAAATAAGTACAAGATGTGTTCACATGATTTACATATTGGACAATATATGCACTGCCCATTTTTAATTCTCTTTACATGTTTCCCACTACCCACGCAACACACTAAAATGTCCGCAAACTATTCACATTTGTTTTGCCTTTTTTTTTCTTTTTTTTTTTTCTTTTTAACTTTTTGAATCAATTGGAAATCTTGACAGCTGTCTATTGGACAAAGACCACACAGACGGTACACCTGGAACAGTTTACAGTGTAGGATGGAGACGTCCGACAAAGGGGAAGGACAGACTGAGCCAGGTTCAGAACGGTGAGTAGCTGCTGGTGATATGAACAGTACATATTAACACAGGAAAAGTGGGTTAACATTCAATCTCTGTTGATCCCTTTGTCTGTTGGGCAGTTCATTAACTTCCACACAACAAACATAAAATAATATACAGAAGGACTGACGGTGGACTTGTGTTGAATTGTGTGAGTATTTCAGGGGGGAAGCAGATGGCTTAGCATTTTCATTCCTCATTGATTAGTTGCGTTACAAATTTGGTCTAAATGTGTCAAAAAAGCTCTTTGTTAAGGCACCTAATGCTGTTGGATAGAGTTATTTTTCTTTTTCCCTATTTTGCAAACTAAACAACTGAAAGTATACGCGCTCCTGTGAAGAAAAAAAAGATGCATTTAAACAGGCTACAGATAAAACTGATAAAAATGTGTATTACTGGTGTAAAAGATGTATCTCTACAGAATTTGGGCCTTTTAAAGTTAATGCTGCCACCAACTACCAATACAGAGTTACACAGGACAGAAATTCAAACAGAGAGTATGGAAATAAAAAGTAGCACCACAGAGAAAAGAATACATGATTCTATGCTAGTAAGAACATTTCAGACGATGTGATTTTCTTCCTCAAAACTCTAGTGTTGATGGACATCTGCTAACTTTAGCGCTGCAACTAGCAATTACTTTTTCTTATTGATTAACCAATTAGTCATTTGGTCAGTGTAATGTCAGAAAATTATGTAAAATGCCAACCACAATTTCCCAAAACCCAAGGTGGCATCTTCAAATGCCGTTTTGTCAGGTAAACAGTCATAAACAAAAACATACCGAGTTTACTGCCACAGAAGAAACAGAAATTATTTACGTGAGAAGTTCAAACCAGAGAATTTTGACATACTTTCTTTAAAAAAAAAAAATTATTTGGAAAGATTATCAAATTTTTTCTGTCAATCGACCAATCGTTGTAGCTCTAGTTAACTTGCTTTCAAAAATCAGATTCAGGTAAATAGAAGTGAGTCTTAACTGGAGAGGAAATAAATTTCATATTTCAGCTGGGGGGGACATAAGCCAGTCTTTCTGTACATTACTTTGAGAGATTTAAAAAGCATATAGGTAGCCTTTATATGTGGATTTGGTTTATGTTCTCAATTGCTTAAAAGGGTTGAAACTACCATGTGTGCCATGTTGTCATTATACAGTAGCCCCCCAAAAACAAAGACAGACACTGGTCCATTATAAAACCTTGTGTGCTTTCATTTCTTGGAATTCTGCAGCTTCATGACTTTATTTACAGCGCTCTTGAACGAACTGCTGGGAGTCGATACTGGAAAATAATTGTGCAAAGACATTACAACTGAGCGTTCTTTCATGTTATGAATGTGTGACAACTGCAGTCAAACTGAATACACACTCTAGTTCCACATGCATATTGTTACTGTTCACAATTCATCCTGTTTTTCCTCTTTAATGTGCAATTTTGTCAGTGGCCTGCAACACATTAACTTGGTTTTGGTGCATAATATAAAAAAGTGTAATTTCTGCTAGAACAACTCTGTCATTATTCACAGGAGCATCACACAAATGTTTTACATGATATGATTGAATTCTACAGAGAGACACATGATTAACTTGCGCTGATAATTAATGAATTACTGAAATTCAAGTGGTTCCTCGACCAGGAAAACTACTGGGATAATGAGAACATGGCACCTGGATCCAAATGAACTGACTGACTGATCTTATAATGCCTCTGGACTAACCACACCATACTGCATGTTCAGCATGGTTTGCCACACAAAAATTACAAACTATGAGACAAAAATCAAAGTTCAATAAAAACCTGCCTATGAGACAGAGGGGATAGTCACCATACTGTACACTTTCTACAATATCCATGTCCATTATGAATATAACAAGTGCATTCACTAAAAGGAAGAGTTGAACTTAAAACAAATTCTCGTTTTTCACTTAAGACCAGGCAAAATGATTCAGAAACATTAAGATGACGCAGTTAAAATGCCAGAGGATGTGAACTGGATGAGTGACCTTTTGCTTGATCAATGTAATTTGTCTTAATAAGAACTAAAATTACATTTATTGATGAATACAACTGAAGTGAATAACAGAGATTTGTTTTAGGTTTAACAGCACCCTCTAGTAACGTTCATTCAGATTTTTAATTTTTCAGCAATTTTTTTTTGTTTTTAAATTACTGTACTTCTTTTACATCAACACGACAGTTGATTAGCGAGTCATCTTTATATACAGGGAAAGGTGGAAGTGATGAGCTCCACAGCTTATGCATTGAGCCTCAGAGACTGATCCTCTCTCCTCCTGGAGGAGATATCGATGTCTATGGAGTCTTTACCCACAATGAGTCGGAGCCGCTTTGCTGGAGGAAGTGGAATGAAATCGTCTTCGAACTCATTGTCGAAGTAGTCATCATCGTCGTCCTCCCCTTCCTCATCATTGTCCTCTTCAGATGAAGGGTCCGGCAGGACCTTTTGGGTCCGATGTCCACCATTCCTGGCCTCCAGACTCTGACCCATGTCCCCATTATAGGACATCTGTTCTGCTTTTGTCTGGGGTATTCTCCGTGCATCGTCCTCTCTTTTCAGCTGGATCTTCAGCTTGGTAGAGTTGTGGACCACAGGGGCAAAGCCATTATTCAGTTTAGCTATATATGAGCTGCCTTTGTCCTTATCGTGGTCCTTGCTGAACTTGATGCTGATTTTGCTGGAAGAGGCCGAGTTGACCGAAGAGGCAGAAAGGTTGGAGGAGCCAATGGGATCGTTGGGGTCATTGGTCTTGCTACTACTGCTGTCCCTCCGCCGGCGGAGCGTCAGTTTGGGGATGCCTGTGTTGTTCTCCAGGATCAGCTGGGCATCATATCGTGTGATCTGACGTTTCTTTTTCCCCTTATCCTGCGATCGGCAGCCACTCTTACTCTTGTCCCTGCGGATGGATTTGCTGCCATTGGCAACCCCGTTGTAGTCCCTGTGTCGGTCAGCGAAGCTCAACAGCACGCTGCCACAGTCTGAGAAGTTAGCGGTGTGGCCAGCAGCCACCGGCATGAACGGCTCACCATATGAGTCCTCACATTTAATTGTCCGCTCGGTCCTGAGCCGTGTCGGCCGTTTCCGCCTGGTGCAGGAGCCTCTTCTAGCATAGCCAGTGTCTAATGCCGGCTGCTCCAGTCCCACTCCTTGGCAGAGATACTCCTCCATGTCAGCTGGCTCTGTTTTAATGACCACTCCACCAGGGACTGGGCTCAATCCGTCCATAGCACTAGGCTCCAGCTTAACGCCAGCTGCCGTTTCCTGGGCTTTCCCAAGGGTCCTTGTGGACCTGCGAGTTCTGTACGTGGAACACTGACGACCCTCACTGTTTTGCACAACTGGTAGATTGCCATTTTCCTTGGCAGCATGACGGGTGAGGCAGCCCCGCTGGCCTAGTGTCTGCTGCACCAGCTCCTGTCCATTCATCTCCTTTTTGACGGTGACACCTTTACACAGCGACACCTTTGAGTCCCTGAGACCCAGCTGGCAAGTCTCTCCTTTGGCCAACGCCTTGGGCTCTGCACCCCTCCTGCGACACCGCAACTGGACTTTACTTAGTGAAGGCTTGGATTGGGATTTTAGTCTCTTTGGTACCCTGTTATTGTTTACACGACCTTGTTTTGAACATGAGGTAGTAAGGGCTCTTGACAAAGTCTGTCTGGTTTGAGTCCTGTTTTTATACTTCAGGCCAGATGATGAGGATGTTCTTTTTCTGGCAGCTGGAGAGAAGAAGTAAAATGTTGAATATTATGCATTCAAAACAATGTAAGAAACATATCTGGACATACGTTGGCTGGGTGTGCTTTACACCTTCCTCCAATATTAATATACAGTATAATACTGAAATCTAGAGATATTTACATACAACACAGTTGCATATGACTGCAAGAATCTGTAACATGAAGACATTCTTTGTTCTTTGTTTTACAATACTAAATCTATTGCCCAGCTCTAATGTATGTAATTAATTAATACAGTTGTGGAATGCTGCCTTTACCACATTGCTTTCTATCATGGGATTTCTTCCCCCAGTTTGAGTTTTGGATCTGAACCCTTGCAGTAACTATGGCAGCAGCATAAAGTGACAGATTCAGTTTTAGGGTATTCTTACATTGATGTGTTTTTGGCATTTCCTGAGAGTCTATATCGGTGTGGGAGCCAACAGAGTGACTGTCTGAACTCCTGTTTCCTTCCCCCAGCTTCTTCAGTCTGTTCAGACGCTTGTCCGTCTCCCGCAACCCGTACTTGCTGTTGATCACCGGCACTTCCACTGGCAGTCCAGCTTTGGATTTGAAAGCACCAGTACCCCGTCTGCTCAACAATAACAACAAAAAAACCCTTTATCATCATGATAACAAAATGATGTGTTGACAAACCAATGACTGGACTTGGGAAACCATGGAAACAGGATTTCAATTCTCTATGAAACACATCAATGAAAAGTTGACATATAGCTGTAACAATCAGTCAATTAATCGATCGGAGAAAAAAAAAACACAGCTACAGGTCATTCATTCGCCAACGTTTCATTCCTTTTTAAAGCAATAGATTGTATCTGCTTGGTTCTAAAATGTGAGGATTAGCTGCTTTTTTGTCATGTATAAGATGTATAACATCAGTGAAATCTCTCAGTTCTGGACAAAATGATTTTTAAGACATAATCTTGGGCTCTAGGAAATTGTGAGGGTTTTTCAATTTTCACTATTTTAACATTTCAATAAAAAGGAAAAAACAGCAGATTAATTAATAATGAAAATAGCATTAGTTGGAGCCCTTTAATGTGCTTTACTTGTGAACGAATATTTAACAAATAAAGTTCATATTTACATCTATACCGGTGCTGGGGTGTATTGTATTGGCTAAGCACTGCCTATATGCACCTTACAAACCATATTTTGATGAAATTTTCCTTTTTACCAAACCATGACACTGTTTCTTAATTAATCTCACCAAGACATAACACCTTCAAGAGATGTTGAATGTATTTACTATTTATAGTGAATTTGTTGTTACACCTACCGTTCACATGTATAGCATTCACAAAATTCATTGTTTTCCCCAAAAAACCCATCGCCATAGTAACACGAGATTTCCTCTCCTGGTTCAATGTCTCTCAAAACCTTCACACAGGCTGTGTCCCGTCCTGTCGATACAAACTAAAACAAAAAATAGAAATGTGTTTGTTAATGTGCTGAGCTTCCATATTGAACAACTGATCCAATTATTTCTTGGCTTTGTGCGAGACCTTTTCAATGGGAACCTACCTTGCAGTTTGGTCGACAATCTTGAGAAACAGGGGGGACAGAAGAAAGACTAATTAATTTAACAATAAAGTACTAATGACACCCAATCACTAGAGATTTTAAAGAGTAATACCATGATTGATGAAGGCAGCTGGCCCCAACCAGAGCTGTGCACAGTTCTTGCGGGTTGAATACATGACACTGAAGTCGTTCTCCCCGTGCCGGAGCAGCAAGTTCTCCTCACTCTCTGAAAGCTCAGCAATGCATCCCACCAGGTACTCGATCTTGTCATTTCTTTTCCTGTAAAACAATGAAATGTAGGAAGGTTAATTACAGACTACTCCAGTAGGCTGCATTTGTTTGTGTCAATATGCTTTTACACACACAGGTTTGTATCTGTGTAAAATACAGACTGAGTTAACATCTGTACAGCTGAAACAATTATTCCATTAATTGAGTCAATCAACAGAAAATGAATGGGCTACTATTTTGAAAACAGATTCATTGTCATTTTTCAATCAAACTGCAAATATCTTCTGGTTCCAGCTTCTCCATGGTGAAGGTTTTCTGTTTTTCTCATTGTAAATGGAAATGTTGTGTTTTGGACACAAGTTATCTGAAGTCATCACCCTGGACTCAGATATTGTAATGGCATTTTTTCATTAATATTTGACATTTCATAGACTTAACAATTGATTAATTGATCAAAATGATAAGACTTATAAATACATTTAAAATTTAAAAAAAATAGTTATTTATAATCCTACATATTTGTGCATCACAATTATCACTGGTGGACATAATAGAGAAGTTCAAATAAAGCTAAAGTTAAATGGCTGCATTTATACCGTGCTTTTATGCGAAGCACTTTGCAATTTTCCTCTCATTCATACACACACACACACGCATGCACATCAATCACAGGAGCTACCATGCAAGGTGGTGGTCTCACTATCAGGAGCAATTTAGGGTTCAGTGTCTTGCCCAAGGACACTTCAACATGTGGAGCTGAGAATCGAACCACCACCCTGGTGATTGGTGAACAAACCACTATTCTACTTTCTGAACCACAGTTGCCCAAAAATGCTTTCAGTGGGTGAGGGCTAGTGATAGCAGTGCACCTGTGGTGCTATTATAATCAGATGGCAGCATGTCCTCACCATTCCTTTGTTGCCACAATTTTAGCTCCATTTTGCTCTGATGAATAGCGATTACAAGGGAGAATCTCAAACCCGCTGTCCGTGGCAAACATCCGCAGATACACAAATACCTGTGCAAAACATGAAGTCAGTTATCTGATTGTTTAGTAAATTGTGGTGCTGGTACAAAAACAGGCTAAATATGTGATATTATTACATGTTGCTTGAAGAGCTTTTCTTGAGCTTTCGTCTTGTGGAGAAAAAGATTTCGGGACCAATCTCCTGATGTCAAAGCTCTGAAAGCTTTCTCCAAATTGTCATGTTTCTTGAAGCGCTCAATGATCTCTTTCAGCTCCTCTTGTCTTCCCTTAATTGGTCGAAATCTGTGGGGACATAGCAACAGCAAAAAAATAAAGCAAACGCTAAAGTGTACATCAGCAACTTTATCTAAACAAAAGACATCTGTGCACATGAATGAGAATGCTTTAATATGACTGTGAAGGGGCTGTACCCCCATCCGTTCCACTGTGATGAATCTGCTGACCTGGTGTTCATTTTGTGAGTTTGAAATCCCAGATATGGATCCAGGATGAGGCTTGTGGTCAGATCATCATTCTCACACAACTCTTTTGCAGTCATTCCTGAGGAGGGCACATAGCGCCTCTCTGCCTCCAGATTGGCTGCATTAAACCCTGTAAACACCAAAAACAGGCTCATGTTAGAGTATGCAACTCCTGACGAATCTAGACATTTGTCTCTACACTGTCTAAACTCACTGCGGCTACATCTTCGGTTTCTGGGGTGGGTTTTGTTGTGGTGCAGGGATGCCCGCTGTGAATGTTGAGAGCGAGTCTGGCTCTGGCTCACAGGTTGCTCGCCGGTCAACTTGTTTCTGTGTCGTCTGCCATTTAATACCATGTTCTTGGATTCGCCCAGCCACTTCATGCCCACAAGCCCCCTGGTCCAGTTGCATTTAGTCTCCGAGTTGAAGAAACGCTCTTGAGTGGGGAAGACTGGGGTCTGAAGTTTAAAACCTGGAGGCAGAGTAGAAACAATAAACATAACTAGATGCACAACCAAGAAAATTGAATTAGCTTACACAGACTCAAGAGATACAAAACTAAACAGGATGGGATAGGATGTGTTGCCAGCTCAGACTGCCAAGATTTATTCACCACATAGTGAGGACAAGAACTTTTCTCACATGGTTAGGAACACCCTTAATTCTTTGCTCTGTTCACACTTTATGTTAAACTGCATCTTTGCTGTAATCATAAGTGGTCAGTGCTAAACATATGATTGCACCAAAATGGCTTGATAATGCACTGAGATACAATTACCGAGAGATAGTCAGGAATTCACTCATTCACAGATGCAGTGTATGGTTAATGTCTCTGATCACTTTATAGATCTGTCTGGAGATCATATGGATACGCTTCATCTGACTAATCTGAAAACAATATGGAAACGGTGTTGAGGTCTACATGAAGGTGCACCAATGGCCCAGTTAATGTTCTATGGACATTAAAACCTGCTACTGGCAGGTGTTGAAGTGCAAAATTTGAACAGCATCAGTTAATCTACCCAGTGGTGACTGCTGTTGTTAACACTATAGTTGGGTGAAGGTACACAGCAAAGCAGCGCTGTGAAAACAAATTTAAAGTGATCCTACGGCGCCGCTTAGTGGTAACCCCAAATAATACATTGGCTTACTGTCAAGCGCAACAGTAACGTCTCCGGTGCCATCACCCATACGTATAAAGTATCGCTTTGTTAATTTATGGACCACATAATCACATAAACACGTCACATCACGTTGACATTTATAACTGCACAAAACCTTTGGTACATTGTTAATGCGCCTGTTACATGAGTGATGTAGTTTCCAAATCGTAAATGCGTCGCAAGAACCATCATCTCATTTGTAATCGATGCATAAAATGCTTCACAAAATGCTTCGCATTTTAGCTCGGAAGCTAACGTTAGCCACGATAAAACAACACGCCACAGGGTTCGGGAAAGGCTGTGGAAACCCGGAAGGCCACACCAACAGATGAGGCCGAGATTGTATGAGTTATCAATACAGCTTGCATTGTTTGCTAACAACTGCCGTCTCTCCACCCATTCACTACGTTAGCACGGAGCTAACAACCAAAGGCGACGCCAAGGAGATGTTTGGCCGTGGTGGTTAGCTTGCAGCAAACGCCGGCAGTAAGCCATCATGGCAGTTTCCAACAAGCAAGTTGACTTTGGCTACCAACCTCAGAAACATCGGCAGTTCAGCCGTTCAGTATAAATCAGTTCAATACAAAGACCGAAGCACAATATTACAAGGATTGTGATATGGTGATGGTGGCATTTAAAGACACTATTACACCATAATACATCAACTCCACATCTCAAGCGGATTCGACATTTTTCATCATGTATTCAAAAACCTAACACTCAAACTAAACCACGATTACCAAGGTTTATTAAAACTTGTATAAAACTTCAGTACAAACCTATATGAATTACCTACATTAACGCACTTCTCGGTTTGTGTTAGCTAGCATCAAACTTAACTTCAGCAGGCTGCTAACTTAGCTTCACCATCAGCTAGCACAGTCAATAAAACACCACAGCAGTCGCTAAATACACAATGCAGTTACCCTTTCTCTCACTAACGACATAACGTTGACTTGTGTCCGTCAAATATTCGACGACGGCAGTGGATAGTTCGCTGCACATGTACCACAGAGTAACGTTAGCTACGGTTATGCTACCTACCTGCAGACCACTGGACCACGGCAGCTAACACTGCGTTAGCTCGGGTTGTTTGATGTGGAAGCCATTAGTTAGCTTAGCAGGCTAAATCTCTAACCGAATTAAAAGTTAGTTTGCTAGGCTGTACTGTTGTAAATCAGATCTGTTGTAGCTATTACAGCAGTCAAATGATCGGCGGCTCGGTGCGGGTGATGTTATTGATCATGATAGCTGGCAGTTTAACAGCACTAAGCTCAGAGCGTTTTCACGCGTTGGTAGCGTTAAATGTCCTGAGTCGACAACAGAAACAGAACAAACACACACAATACTCACTGGGTGATTTTGTAAAACAGTCGCGAAACAAAACACCACTCCTTCAAACTAATCCAAATTTGGCACGACACCCTACACGAAAATATCACAGGAAACACATTTTTTTAGAAATTAACATTAAAATTCAAGATGGCGGCCTAGCACAGGAGAGAGGGAGAGAAAGGCGCAGCACAGCCATCCTAAAGAAAATAGATCCAATAAATACGCAACCGCTCTCGTCCGTATGGACTTAAATGAGAAAAAGCACTCCACGATATAGTCTGAAACTCGAAAAGTGGACGTTGTAAGCCACTTTTTGTAGCTTTTGTTGAGAAAAATATCGAAAATCGCTATCTTAGTTTGTGTCAGTAATTGTCGGATGTACACAAAAGTAGTGCTGCATAAACAAACCTCTTTACGCTTCCTAAAGAATCCAGCGGTAGTGGGCAGACGGACGCTAACGGTGGGTTCTCCTCTCTGTTTCATGGAGAACCTTACTAGAACAAGCTAGAACAAGTCACTTATAGCCACAACTACATAAGAGACTTCTTCCTTTTACTGCACTGTTATTTTGATGCCACCCCTCCTAACTCATCACTTGTTAATGTGGGTAGTGCAGACCTGTAAATAGGCCATTCCTCAGTTGTTTTTTACAGAACCACCCCATGTTCCATTGCATAGCCAATCCTAACTGTTTCACTTTGCCTTTTGATATAGATTTACCAAGCTGAAAATACCTACCCAATATTCATTTAATAAGATTTACTACCAGCAGTTTCAGTTCATAAATGCCAAGGTTAAGGCTTTATTGCTGTTAGACTTTGTATTGTGTTGTGTAGCCAACAGTGAAACCTCAACATACCTAGGTCAAGTGGTTAAGGTCAAGGTCAAGGGGCCCCAGAAAGAGACACAAAACAACCAAAATGATAGACAAAACAAACCACAGAGACACAAAATAACAACAGATGCAAAACAACCAGCAAGAGACACAGAACATCCTAAGAGATGAAAAAGAACCACAACTCAATGTAAAACGTTTACAAAGAGACGCAAAACATCCTTGAAAACAACAGCATACGCAAAACAACTAGGAAGAAATACAACACAGCTACAAGGAGATGCAAACCATCAACAGAAGTGCAGAGCATTGTAAAACATCTACAAAGGGATGCAAAACAACCACAATAAGAAGCCAAATGTCTACAGAGAGATGCATAATAACCATAACCATCTGTTTGCCGTTGCCCTCTATTGAATTGAATGTGGGACTATTTACCTTGCAATGTTGTGTCGCTGAGCAATAATTTTCATTCTTTTATTTTATTTGTTTTACTCTATTTTATTTTATTCTTGTCTTTAATTCTTAAATCCCATTTAAATGTGGCTTTTTGTATTGCATTTATTTTCTTAATGTCGTTTATGTCTTATGTGAAGAACTTTGAATATAAAAGGTGCTATATGAATTAGCTTGTCTTGCCTTAAAGGAAACAGTGCGACAGCATAATTATCGAGTAGTAGTTATAGCTGCTGTTTAAACATGCTGCAGCTCAGATAGTTGAGCCTAGAGGATGCTGTTACAGTAAAACATTACAATTCATTCAGGTGGGCTGGTGTCATTGTTGGGCTACATCCTTGGTTTATTGTCTGTCATGGTCAACAGACTGCCGCATTCATCGTCTGTCCTTGGATTTGTTGTCCTTGGCTGATTTGTCTGTCTCCGCACCAGAAGGCATTGCTTTTCTCTTTACAGGAAAAAATTTGACCTCTCTGCTACACAAATGTTTATTGTTATTTCAAATGAGTGCATATAAAGTTGAAGTAACCACATGTGCAAAATAGATGTAGGAGATGACAGTATCTGCATCTTCAATTGGCATCTTTAAAAGTGTCTAAAACATGTTCTTTCTTGTGGCCCTGTGCTCAGCAACACATAGCTCTGCCACTCTGATGGTGCCCTGGTCGGCTTTCCTAAATGGGACCGCACTCATCATAATCTACTGTAGGTAATAGACTATATATGACTACTTCACACAACCCCACATCAAAAAACCCGAACTATTTCTTTAATACCAGTTAGTGATATGGCCTGTAGCCCATATGTACTTGAGTGGGTGGAACCTTTAAGCCGGTTAAGTACCAGTACACTTAGTTGTTTATTGAGTTATCGGTGAGTGAGTGTTCTTCCGTGTCACCTGATGTATGAACATATTTTCAATTATTAAGAAGTTTGTGAATATGTGAAGAGGTGTTTTGTAGAGAGCACAGATATAACATTATGTATTTACTCATACAGTATATGTGAATTGATGAAACACAATGCTAACTCCTCCTCATCTTTTGATAGTAACTGAAAAACAAACAGTCATGTTACAAAGAATATATATATATATTGTACCATTGAACTTGTCTGATATTTTTGGGAATGAGTCTTACATCTGCAGCAACCTGTAGACATGTTAGATGAATACAATGGAAGAGTGTTGTTGCAGTGATTGTTCCAACAACACAGATAGCTAAGCTGAGGGAACTTTGTTATCCTGGAGTGATGCCCAGAAACAGCTACAAGATGCTTGAACTTGGTGGGCGTAGAAATTTGCCTTTCATTGCATAGCCTACTGTACAGAGTGGTTTACAATGAGTGGGCTGCATTGCCCTGCTGCATGTGTAAGGAAGTGAGCTGCCATGGTAACCACTTAAATACCTTTCCCCCCAACAAACCCTGACCTTCTCCACTCTGTTTGTAATGAAGGTGTAAACTGAGCTGGAAGTCTGCCCAGTCAAGGTATTTAATATTCATCTGTACACTGCAGATAATGTGTGACTAAGCGAGTGGTTCAATTATCACTTCAGTGTGGCCTCTTCATTTTAGTGTTTGCCAGTGTGTTGGTACATTGTGTATATATTTAATTCATCTCTGCCCCAAACAATCTACAAACACACCTGTCTTGTCACCACAGAAGTAATGACTTAGCTCATATTTTAAACAAATGTCAACAAATGCCATGAAAAGACTTAAACCAACATTATGTTAGTTCATCTTTATATACTTTCTTACTCCCCTGCTCTGTCTGTGGCATTAAACTCCAAGCTTATTGGTTCCTTCAGAAGACGTAAATCTTCTCTCAACAACATTGTTATTGTAGTTTTTCACAAACCTCACTCAAAAAGGAGGAAATAATACATTTGTCGGGAACTATATTCAGTGGTGGATTAATCCACATTTGTTGCTCTAGTATGAGGCAGCAGGATGTTGGATATGGGACTTAGTCTAAATAAACTACAGTGTGTGTGTTCATGATAATGAAGGAACATGTGCAACGGTGTGGCTGACGTGTTTTTAATGATGTTTGGACAACACTGGAGGACAATGGCCGTCAGGGGAGACATATCCTGCATTTATGTGGGGTTGGAATGACTGAAAATTTAGCTTGTGCCTGGGAAAATGTTCGTGAACGAGCCCTCAAGTCAGAACTCAGAACATCTGCGAAAAATTTGGTACACAATTTGCCGAGTTGTTGATGTCAGAAACATGGTGGACAAAAGTAAATATTTGGTTGATGGTGAAAAACTTTTCATTGAATGATTATTTTGCTAAAATTCAATTTGTAATATAGTATTAGGTTGTACCTGTTAGCTGCTGAAACCCCATTCTGCCACATGCTGATGCAGCTCACGGTCTGCTCCATTTCTTGGGCCTTTGCATTTAGGCGGGCTCCACCCTCAGTCACCTCTTCTGAACAAATCAGGAAGGAGGACAGATGCAGCAGACACTCAAAAACAAAGAAAAAGATATTAATACAACTTATTTAAAATAATAATGACAGAACAATGTAAACCAAATGTGCATATCTCATTTAGAACACAGTGTCAAAGAAGCAATGAACAACATACTAAACCAAACAAACTGTGGCCGTGTTTTATGTATTTTAAGTGACTGCAAAGAAAACTATGATAATGAGTGTATGAAACCATAAATCTGCCTTTTGGATATGAATGTTTTGAGTGTGGTGAGACTGGATAAATATTACCATATTTCTATTTCAGTTGTGTGGCTGTGAATACGGTCATCACAATGACACAGAGAAATTAGGCATGGCAGCCTTTAGATACACAGACAATACTTGTTAGTGGGAGATTATATGAAATATAATATGAAATGTAGCCTACATAATAAGATTAAAAACACAATCTCAGGTATTTTTTGTATTTCTTTGTTTTTTGATTGGCATAATATTCCAAAACAAATTTTTCTCCAGAATTTTATTGGAAGTGCAAGTTAACAATATAAACGTTATATTGTTTTTTTATTGAGCCTTTTTTTTTTTTTTAGAAGAAAGAGTTTCTATTATTTATTTGGCTCCTCCTCTTTTTCTTTCTTTCTTTCTTTTTCTTTTTTTACGTTAAGTACGTAACAGATTACACGTCACACTACGTCAGAGGTCGAAGTTGAGAGGTGACGTAGAGGGCTCGTGGTTGGAAGGTTCGCGGGAAACGTCCCAAAACAAATTAGTTCTGATGGACACACGAGCGACTTCAGGCACCGTTTGAACTTTAACTGATCAAAGTTAACGTTGTCTTTAAACGCGGTAGTATAACGTAAATTGTCCGCCGTTAGCGAGTTTATCTTACTCTGAAACTGAACGACCTAACTAGCTACTGTAGCTCCAAGCTAACACAACACTGTCAGCGGGCGCTAATCGGGTAGCTTAGCACCAACGGACGGTTTGGTTAACGGTGAACAGGAGTTGAGGACTCGGTAAACAGTGGGTGAAATGGCAGAGAGGCCAGAAGACCTGAACCTACCCAACGCGGTGATCACCCGCATCATCAAGGAGGCGGTGAGTGCGGAGAGCAGACACTGAACTCAGACTGAAGCTTTTCTTTCATTAAGGCTTCAGCTTCAGCTTTCAAGTTGAATATAAATAACAAAAAAAAAAACTACTACTACTTTCTCCAACACAAATCGGTGAAAGGTACGAACATTCATTGAAAAAAAATTCAGATTTTAAAGTACTTGCTTGACACGATGAAAAGTAAATCTACTCGAATATTGTATGGCAGAATGTTACGAAGCACATTTACTTAAGTACCTGCAAACTGCATGATTATTTTATTTTCATGCCACTTTATACTATTACTTCACTACATTTTAGTGGGAAATATTGTACTTTTTACTGCACAATATTGATCTGACACTTTACAGATTAAGATTTTTAGTAAAGTATGATGCCTCATTATAGATTAAACCGCAATAGTAAACAATGCTGCAAAAAACTGCAATTACTGGATCATCTGATCCTTTGTATTACTGAATTCATATACACTTATATACATACATTCTCTGTAATATGCATGTGCGTATCTTTTGCACAATCCATAGCTCCAGCTCAACCCCTCTATCTTCCAACTGATTTATTTGTATTCTTTATTTTAATTCTTATATACCCTTTCTATTTGATGCTACTTTTTTCATCAAAGCCCCAGAGAAACACATTTTGATGTCATCACATGTAGCATTTTATTGTAAAAAGTATACATGTAACAGTGGTGTGATGATAAAGGTCAGTATCCTCATCTTAAATACAAATAGAGCTGAAACCGTTATTTGAATGACAGAAAATTAAGGCAACCACTTTGATATTCGTTTAATGTAATTTTTCATGTAAACATGTCATGGTTCCAGCTTGTGTGAGGATTTGCTGCTTTTCTTTTAGTGATTTTAATTCATTTTTAATAATGTTTGATGTTTGGACTATTGGTTTGACACAAAAAAGTATTGTGAAGGTGTCACTTTGGGCTCTGGGTAATTGGGATGTGTTTCTCTCACTATTTTCTGAACTTTTTAAACCAATTAATCAACCAATGAATTAAAAAACTAAGCAACTACAGCAGTAAAATGTTGCTGACACATGAATGAATGTGAATTTTTTACATTTTCCCGATTACATATGGTCATTTTGGAGGATGTAGCTTGCTGCTGTTGAACTGTATTATACAGACTGAGCACATTTGTTCAGTTCTCTTTTTGCATGAGGATGTAATCATCCCTAAGTAAATAAATACTTCTCTCAGCCTGTCTGTGTCTTCTGATAAAACCTGTATGTACTGAAGCTTTGACATAACTCCTCCGCACCATTTGTTTTCAACAGCTCCCAGATGGGGTGAATGTGTCGAAAGAAGCAAGGAGAGCCATATCCCAAGCTGCCAGCGTGTTTGTATTGTATGCAACCTCCTGGTAAGAATAAAAAAACAACATACACAATCAAACACAGTCATGCTGAGTTGATTCACAAATTCAGTTTGATTCAAGTGGTGTTGGGATTTTACACAATTCAAATCCCAAGAAACATGAAACGTCTTAATGAATTTGTCATAACGTTATGATTCTTAAAATATCATGTTTAAGATCTGAATATTATTATGAACATGTGTTTTTTTTCTGTTCATTTTGTCACAGTGCAAATAATTTTGCCATGAAAGCCAAGAGAAAAACTCTGAACGCAGGAGACGTCTTGGCTGCGATGGAGGAAATGGAGTTTGAACGATTCCTGGAGCCTCTCAGAGAAGCTTTGGAAGGTCGGTACATGAGTGATTCGTTACAGCTTTTAAGGAAATTTAAACGATAAGTGAAGTTGACATTACTCTCCTGAGACGTACTGTGGATTAACATCAGTCTGGATTTGTAGAAACTGATTATCTCTGTTTTTGTAAAAATACTCAGAAGAAGAAGAAATACTAACCTATACTGTAATGTAACCTGTTACCCCACAAAGTGATCTCCTATGAAATGCTCCTTAACCTCATCCGGGATTTTGATCATGGAAAGGCTAAAAACAGACGCCACCTGCTAAATTCTTCAAATGTCAAGTATTACTGTCTTTATAGATATTATGAAAACTGCTTCAACATGTAAAGAAATTCAAAACCAGACACTTATTGTTGCTAAGCTGTGATTGGACATTCAGTGTTTGGTGGAGCAAACAATTGATAACAGACACTTATGTAAAATATAATCAACTACTGGTCCTTATTTTAATGCTGCATATTTGAAGTTAATGGTGGGTGTTTGGGTTTGTCAACAGTGTATAAGAAAGGCCAGAAAGGAAAGAAGGAGGTGTCGGAGCAGAAGCGCAAAGATAAAGAGAGGAAGACCGACTCTGAGAATGATAAGAGCAGGGAGGAGGAAGAGGAGGAGGAGGAGCGCATGGAGGAGGAGCCTGAAGCCGAGGAGGAGGAGGAGGTGGAAAACTGAGGACGTTTCACCACAAACTTCCGGTGACACAAACGATGAAATGCTCTTCATCAGCTCCTCTGAGGTTATCACTGTCTGGACACGATGCATTTAAGTGACGCTTGTTCGTCATCCAGCAGCTGTGAATCAATAAGATCCAGGTTACAGTGCAGCAACACTGATGAACTCAAAGGAGGTGAGGTTACAGTCCAGGTCTTTGTGGCGGTGCAGCTTCTGTCTTCCAACCAAACGCACAACAAACATCCAACACAAAGCACAAAGACACCACACATCTAACATCACACTCACACCTTGCTAACTTAGTCTTGGTCCATTTTGTATTTTAATCATTTTTTTCTATAAACCCGACTCATGTTTTGATACCAATGCTGTTTGGTTTCTTCTATAACAGGATTTTTTGACAATAAGCAACATGCAGCAGTTCAGAAAGTGACTGATTCTGTCTTTATTGAACCAATACAATCTGGCAAATAAGCTTTTCATTCAGTTAACCACTGGAGGGGGTGAGAACATAGGCAGTAACTTGATCGGTTATGAACAGGCGTCTGAAATGTCTGAGCACTGTTACAATGCCTGTGATACTTTTCAAAAGGAGAAATATCAATACATTTTTTCTACAAAACACCCTTTATTAATTTATCAAGAGAAAACAAAGTTCTCTAAAGTAAACATGTAACCGCACAAGAACCTTTACCGAATAAAATGTTTAAAGTCTCATCATTGAATAAGTTAACAAAAAAATAAAAGTCCTGACATTTGCTGTTTTGCATTTGTCAGGTGAGAAAGATTTGAAACGTGTTTGTAAGACAGTGATCACTGTAATGAACTGCTGTTGGGACTACATCACTTCATACCCAGTACAAATAGCTGCACCAGTGTGAATAGGTCCTTTTTGTTCCCTAACTGCTGAGTTTTTGAACCATTTATACTTTTGTAGAGTTGTATATGACTGGCTGAGATTTTCAATAAATATTTTGTATAAAACCAAACCTGCGCTGAATCGTAACTGGCTTTAGATGAAGGCAAAAACCCTGCACACTGTTATCCAGGCTGAAGTTCAACTTAGCCATTTAATTTGTATTCACTTTATACTTAACATAATGTAACATTTCACTTTAGTGTTTGTCTAATTCTGTTCATTCTCTCCCAAACTGAATCTGGGTTTGATTTTGACTATAGAATCTAAACAATCTTTAAGGACTCACTCAAACAGTTTCTGTAGTTAAAGTTCAATTTAAGGTACATAAAATGTAATTTAATGTAGCTCAGATCAGGTGTCTCCAAAATATATAAAGTAGCACAAAATGTAAATATAAAAGTACAAATACCTCAAAATTGCACATGCGACACTAAAATTAACCTTGTATTAATTCAATAGCTTCAAACATTTGTTGTTTACTAAACTGAAAGGTGTCATGGATGATTTGGACGCTTGATTCTTTTTGAAGTCATGACCTCGAGGCTGTTTTTTCCCCCTCCCCTTCAATTTAAACACTGTCCAGTTTCCTCAGAAAAACGATCCCTCAGCCTTGCATCACAGGAGGTACGTTACATCAGTCTATTAGGTACACCCAGCTAAAACCAATGCAGTCCAGTACCCGTCTGACGTATGGCTTTAGTTTGAGCTGGGTGTACCTAATAAACTGACAGTGTATATCCCATTCTAGTGTATGATTATACTGAGCGTAAACAAAAGGATTTAAAAAGAAGATTAACACAAGAAGTTCGTTTTTTGTCAACATTTTAATTGTCCATTTAATCAGATGGGCACTCGACTTTGCCGCTGTTGATGTCATCGATGACATCATGGGGAAGACGGCCATCAATGGTGCATCCAACAGACTGAGCGGTGCCCAGGATCTCCTTGATGGTTCCTGAAGGAAAAAAATAAATATAAGTTTCTCAAGAGCCGTTACCTGCTCAATGTCATGTCAAAAATGTTTTAGGTCTTAGGAAAAAAAAAGAAAAGAAAAAGAGCCTAAACATGAAAATGTCTCCAGTATTTAAGTGACATTGGATTCAGTGCTTAAATTTAACAGTAAACTGATGTGGGATTGAATCTGTACATTCATCTGGTTGATAATGTTCCAGACTTTTCGGCACAGAGTTGTCCATTAGTTTGAGCAGCCCTGTTTCCTAAAGCTGGGTCAGTCTGAGCCTCCACTGGATTATACTCAGTCACTTGGACAGACAGGCATAGTGGCGGGAGGCTTAACAGGAATAAAACTTCATGCAAAACGGAGCACCCTGCTTTAGTGTGAGAGATGAACTGCTATAAACACTGTAAACAGAAATGAAATTCAGAAAATTGTCTGACTTTTCCTGAAAGTCCTGTGTTCTTACCAGAGAGCTCCCTGGCAATGGAGCGAGGCCTCATGACACGAGCGATGCCGACAATCTCATCGAAGGTCACACTTCCACTGTGCTTGACTGGAAAATTAAAAATGAAAAACAATTAATAAAAAAAAGGTATGAAATATAGTCAGTTTGTTATTAAGTGTGCTGAGCACTTTATTGAAACAGCTGGTTTTTCAAAGTCACTTACTGTTCTTGACCTTCTTCCTGTCACGGGGAGGCTCCTTCAGGGCCTTGATGATGAGGGCAGATGCAGAGGGAACCACCTCAACCTGAACAGAACAAAAGAGGATTTTATTAAATACAATCAAACCTGGATCTAATCATCATCCTGCACAAGCGGGCGTTTGCATTGAAAGCAGGCTGGAAGTGGGGTTTGCATTGGACACAGCAAGTGGAGTACGTACAGCTGCCTGTCTGTTCTGGATGGTCAGCTTCACAGTGATCCTCAGGCCCTTCCAGTCACCGGTTGCCTTGGCAATGTCGTCACCAACTTTCTTGGGAGACTGGAGAGAAAACACCAAGGAGAGATTATCTTAGAGCAGCAGGTACAGGAAACAAAACGCACCTACATGACTTCATTCAGACCGAAGCTGCAACTTACAGAACTGAGATGTTGAAGTTTGTTTTTTTTTGTTTTGTCTAAATATTGTAAATACAATCACTCATTATTAAACCTTTTACAGCAGCGTCCTTTGTAATGACATGCAGGAGCCTCAGTTTGTGTTCCAGGCTTTTCGGCACAGAGTTGTCCATTAGTTTGGGCAGCCCTGTTTCCTAAAGCTGGGTCAATCTGAGCCTCCACTGGATTATACTCAGTCACTCAGACAGACAGGCATAGTGGCGGGAGGCTGGTTCAATTTGTGCCAATATACATTTTAACACTCACCAGACCCAGAGGTCCGATTTTGGGGGCCAGAGCAGAGGTGGCTCCAACTTCTCCTCCTGTGCACCTCATGAACACTGTAAGACAAAGGACAGTTTCATCTTCATCTGTTGTAGCTTCTTCACAATTATCCATTCACAGGCACCCACTGACAACCGATTAAAAACACACTCAATATACAGCCCAGTCTTATCCTGTTCCGGTATATCAATGACCAAAAAACAAAACAAACAAACACAAATGCACCTGGGCTTTTACAGGATTACAGGAATCAAGGACTGTTTATAATAAAGTCCCATGAAGAGGCACCAAACATCAATTTGTATGGAAATGCAGTTAAACTACAAACTGTTGCCAACACTGCAACAGAAGGTGATTCACATTAAAATCATGATCAAGTTAGCCACCTATGAACTTTATATGAACTTGGCATATTTAATCTAACAAAACCTGTGTAAGCAGTGCTCATAATTGTATAAGATTTATCATATATAAAAAAGGGATTTATTTTGTCTATAGCTGTGTCCAGCAAAATGTCTTGCTCTTATCACAGGACTTGAGCTGAATAAGCTAAAACATTTTCATCGACAGGTTTGCAATTGTAATTAGTCTGTTAAACAGCCAACTCCTTCAGATTTGGTTTACAAAATCACTTCGGTTCTGCCCCCGGTGTATTTTCCCATTCCTCCCAGCTCCAATACACCCAATCAGTTAAATCAAATGTTTTCAGACCAATTGAGCTCTGACAGACACATGATTAGGACCAGGTGATACATCAGTTTCACAATATCTATCAAAAAAAGGCCCCAATTTAACATTTTATGTTAATTGTAGACAAAACATGCAGACAAATAATTGTCCAATTAAAAACACATCATTACAGGTAAAATAAAGAACCCATTTCACTGGTTTTCAATTACAACTTGCTAATGATCACCAACTTGGGTAAACTTCACTGAAATATAACACTGAATTACAACTCTACATCTGGAGCTCAAGGTAGATCAGATAGTGATTAATGTGAGATGTTTGCAGTTGCCATGAACTGGACTGAACCATCAAGTCTAAAGGGCTTCATAAATTAAAAACAGGGGTTTTTCGAAATGTTCATTAGATCTGCCACTCAAACATTAAGACCAGTGCTGAGAGAAACCATTCAAATTGTCTTTACACTTAAAATTTTGTCATCAATTCCACTTTAAAAAAAAAAAAAAGATGATTTAGCTTATTGGTTCATTCATTATCAGATTTGATGGCAAGTTTTAGACTGATTCATTCATAAATCAATGTTCCAACTATTATGTAAAACCACTTGAGTCGTGAAAATTGCTATACAGCATAAAAATCACAGCTGCAACATTTAGTTGAGCAACAGAAAACTCAATGTATTGACAATTGATTATTTTTGAACCAGTTTCTAAAAAGACGACAATTGAATATATTCTGGTTTTCCATGATGGAAAAACATATCTTCAAGTTTCCCACTGTTTATCAATACATTTGAAGACATCACCCAGGTCTGTGGGAATTTGATGGCCATTTTTCACTACTGATCTTTAATAGACCATGGACCTACCGGGAAAAAATTAAAATCAGTAATGAAAATTAGTTGCAGCCCTACATTATATTCACTATTCAATTTTATGGACAAAACACAGGAATGAGCCATTATTGGAAGAAATAAATTGATTCATCAATAAAAAGGTAAACCGAATTATAGTGGAAACATTAATTAAATAGTCAATAAGTCAAATCAAAAATGATTCATGTAAAATCAGTATATGCGCCAATTCAACAGAAGTACCCAAATAAATTAAGGAACCATAATATATTTGGAATATGAAGTTTGAATGAAAATTGATTTCATATTAACAAATTTTCATTAAAATTACAACACACCGTTATGTTAGAAAACATTAGTGAGCAGCATTAACTCAATTCTCATTTTCATGCATTTGTAAATGATGCTAATGTTAGCATTGCATTACTGTTAGCATGTCACTACGATTAGAAGCTAGCTGGTTTGTCCCACGTGCATTCCCGCGGAGTCAACCTTTTACCATCTAAATGCTTCATTAGATCGTCACATATGTTGTAAAATACCACCTGGTACATACAATCAAGTCTGTAAACACTAAACAAGACAGATTTTTGTTTTCTTGATCGCGTTTCGTCTCCCATCTTTACCGTTTTCTCTGCGCCGGTCAGAGGCCAACAGACACCGACCGACTCCATCTTGGCTGTGAAAAAGCTTCAGCTTTTATTACCCACTCGATAGTGAAAACATACCAATTTTAACCTCGTTGGGGTCGAATTTGGGAGGCATGTTGCTGCTGTGTAGGTTGAGCTCAGTTCAGCTTGGTTGGTGAGGGTGTCGGATGAACCCGGGTTCGGGACGACCGATTACTGTTGCACCTTCACCGCTAAGGGGAGAAAGAAAGGCGGAACACTGCGCCGAGGACAAATTTATACTTCCACCAAGTATCGCGAGAGGTTGTAATTCCGTTCTCGTTGTCCCTCATGTTTCTGCCTCGAAGATTCAAAACCGCAGCACCCACGTTTTTCGCGACAGTGCCACCCAGCGAATAGGATGGCTGCAAAACTAAAACTGACATAAAGGTTTATTCCACCCAAATACTTATTAATATAACTACTTTCTGTCGTGCAATTCACCTTGAGTTTCATGTTGGGCAATTTGTTTAATTAGCATAATTTGGTAATTATAAGATGAAATAAAGATGAGAATA